GAAGAAGACGCGGCGTGTGCGCAGTCGACGCGGTGCCCAATGACACTCTAAATATTCAAATGACTGACTTATTTCCATTTTAAAACAGTGAATCATTTTACGATCTCTAAAAAACAAGGTGTTTTATTATCTTATTTGTTATGAATAACGGAAGATTTATTATAAAATCACTTTAACCCGTTTTTGTGCCACGCGTTATTATTTTTTGTCGTTTCGCTGCGGGTACATGTTTACATAGTGTTCAGTTGATCAGCAACGAACGCCAGCGACATCTAAGACACGGCCACATTAAAACATTGTGTTATATATTGGATTGATTAAATACAAATGATGATTGACGATCTCTATATTCAAATAATAAAATCATTGACCAGCTGTTATTATCATATTAAAACAATGAATCAATTTTAAACTGTAAGTAATACATTAAGCAGTTTTATGAGCGTCTTTATTTGTCGTTAGATCACATTGATATTTATGACTCGATGTTAATGTTAAGTAGATCACCGCAGTGAAAAGAATCTCTAATGAAACCAACAAATTCGCCTAGGTACATGTATGTATAGGTACTTATTGTACTGTAGAACTTACAAACACTTGTCATTTATTATAAAATATGTTATTTACTGTGTTTTCGTATGAGGAACTGTTGTCAAACATATTTAGTGGTCACATCGAAACTGACATTTAACAGCAGCGCATAAATCAGTACTACATATTTAAATGTTTACGTGACCATTCGTGACTCTTGCGCAAGGCTAGCTGTGGCCTACCTACGTCATAATACCTACTTAAAATAAAGACTGTCGTGGTAATAAGTATTTTTTAAAGAAATGCTATAAATCTTATTTTGCAGTAAGAGTGTAGCAATACTCAAGAACTGACTACGCTTGATGATGATTTCGAGGTGTCCAATGAAACTGTGTGTGTGTGGAGTGTCACAAGATGGCGCGGCGGTGGCTGTGGTCGTTGAATGGTTTAATATACGGCTGTGTGTGAGCGCGAACAGGTTCGTAATTTGTCGCCAATCATTAGCGCACGTGACGGCTCCTACTGCTGCCTTCCTCGTGGGTGTGGCAGACGCTCTCCTTGAACGCGTGCCAACCGCGGAACAACACTAACCCATGACCACACTACAAAAGGTCCACTCTGTGTCGTTTGAAATAATCTGAGTATTAACTCTTACAATTAACAGTTTGTTTAGTCTGGGACCCAAAGTCTGAGAACACTGCACAGCTGCTACGTCAAACATGCATAAAGCTCATAACAACGCAAACTGTGTTTGAATGTGTCTTGAAAGCTAGTTTAGATTTTTTACGTTCTGACTGATCAACTAGATCTTCTGAATTTTCTTCCATGTTGTGAATTGTCCACTAAACCAACATTATGTATGTATAATGTGACTACGCGCAAGTTAAACCCTTTATCTAACTCGAGCCGAAGCAACATATATTACGACTTTATTGTCTTATAATAGGTTTGTTTATCTTATGAATTCATTAAACTTTAGATAAACAATACGTACAAATTATTATAGGAAAAATGTTTTAACATGCTGTTGAAGTGACAAAGGCGGGACTGTAGCATTATCTGTAGGATTATTATAAATATCTTGGTTTGCTTAGATGTGTATCTGTTTGTTATTAATTGAATACATTTGTTTAATCTGATGAAATGTTGCTGAGTAGATAGTTGAGTATTGCAACGCTCTGCTCGACCTCGACTGGTTGATGTCATAATGGCACTGGTGCTCTGCTATGTACAGGTTTCTTACATCCAGATTCTGTGGCTATGGAAATGGCTGCCACTTCATTTCCCCAACTTTGGAGTACGCACTGAGGATAACATAAGACTGAAATCTGACATCGTATAAAACACGGGAGCAAAGTTTATAAACTTCTATAATGATGGCATAGAGATAGAGTCGACAGCCTGCCATCATTTACCGCACACCGGTTCAAGTGTACTCGGATATTTGCTTGGAACTCTGGTAATTAAAAACATAGCCGTTACGCTAATTAATTTCTCAAAGTCAAAAGAGGTTTGGAGGTTTTCCACTTGAAGTATTTTTGACACAGTGTGAATGTTAGCTATCTGTACACACGGGGTTACATGCCCGACACGGTTGGGCACAGTACAACCTGTGTCTTGGTACCATGGACAGTGCGTTTTGGAGACTCGATACGGTTTGGAGAGTTTATTGCCGGTGCTGGGAAGCGACGGTCAATTAATTCTGACCGAGTAACAAGTAACAAGCTTAGATTTACTGTATGCCGTACTCAGTGACGGGTTTCTCTCGGACTCCACGATTGATGTGATTATTGTTTAATTGGCACGCTAATGTGATGAGATAGCGGTCTCGCGGCAACTACTCGCTATACATATACTTACTTATCTGTTCATCAATATAGGTTTAATAACAATGGTTAACATAACGCGGTGGTTGGGTGAGGCCTGTGGTGGTAGTCGTCGACGGGTTCGCTGAACATAAGACCTATGTAAGTGTAGTCAGTACCTATGCTACGGGATGTGCGTGATACTTTTAATTCATTTGGCTCGGGGCTCGCAGCGGTATCTGTCGTATTCGTATCAGTGCTCGGCTCGGTATAAATTACTTGTCTACACGAACTGCTACTGTACAACAAATCATGCATAGACCTCTAACATCTTTGCCAACTTGTGCTGATTGCCATTGCTAGAGCGAGTTATAAAAAACGTAGCGCAATAGGATTATTATACATTGGGTCTAATTTATGCACAATACGAGTAGAGGTATAATACTAAAATTATGTATACCTATATCAAAGTTAAAATTTGTTCTTCAATATCGTATACGTACATAGTGTGTACAAAAGCAGTTGATATTAAATAAATAAATATCCTCATTTATCTGATTGTATGAGTTAGCTTCACGGCAGCGTATCGACAGGAAATCATTATTTTATTCGCAGCACTATTAATTTGTATTGATTAAAATACCCAGAAAACAATTATAACACAGCTATGCCTAAAATGTTGGAGCACGTCTAACAACGTGTTTGCTAAGCAGCTGCTTCCTCCGACGTAATTTATTGCTGATAGACTCGTTCCTAGTGTTTGTCTACTATAAATATTGTTTGAGTTTTATGTATTCAATATTTTTACAACTAGTAGGTATTCAAGTTGCGCCGGACTCGCATTTTTACGACGTTTATTCAAATGTTTGAGTGTGTAATTATCGTCGATCAGCTGATGACCGTTGTCCAGTTCAAAAGTATAAGGCGTTAAAAAGAAAGTCGATTCCCCCACCTCCCTCTGCGCCTAGAGGCTTGGTGATTTTATGTTTATAATAAAGTTAATCCGAACATTAAGCAAGGCAGAAGGCGTGACAAGCGAAATCGTAATTAACGGCTCATATCTTTGTCTAAACATGAGCGTTTGGGTGCGCGGGCGCAGGCCGCCGACCCCGGCCATAGGCGCGCCCGCTCCGTGTCGCATCAGATTTCACTCCACTTGGCCGGATTTTGGATGACACTTCAAAGGGCATACCATCGACGATAACCCATTCACAGTTATTGTTCTCAAAATCATCTTCGTTTCTTGATAAACCAACTTGTCTCACATTATCTGATTAGGTAATGCTCAAAAGCTTTTATTAAGGTTTTTTGTTTTGACTTTCCGAAGAAACATAGAGTCTATCTAGGAGATATACCACCAGAACTTAGAGGGTAGTGAAGTGGTAGATAATGCTGTAGCGGCGGCCGACCGAAGCCGGACCGTGACGGACCGCCATAAAATCTCCCGTTCACCAACATTATAACAAATGCTAAACTGTGTGTAAAGGCATTCGTCACTGGTCGTATAAATCAGTCGGATTGCGCCCATTACCGGCTGGACGGAGCGCATTAAACCGCTGCTGATTAAACAATACAGCGCTGTAAACTATCCGACGATAGCTGCGGCGTGAACCAACGACATTCCGAGATTTATACATTTTTATAACCAATGTTTCTATTAAACCCATTTCCCAAGACCTTCATATGACACCGTGTGCAGTGGCGAGCCAGACAATACGCGCTGTAGACACTCGGAGTTCTAATCCAGATCCACGATAACCGCGGACAGGGCTGCCACCGGGCGGCAGCTTCAAGGCTGGCTATCAAAGATCGCTATCGATAATATCTGCGAGATAAGGCAAGGCCTGGCTGCCTGTCACCCTGTCACCGCGTCTCCCGGCGCTAACGACGCTTCATTTTTTAACATGTACCTGCTGTTAATTGTAATCTTAATATCAACGCTTAATTGTTGAATTTAACTTCTCTGAGCGTTTGTATACCGGATCATTATTTTATTACTTACCTGCATTACATCCCTGTTGGTATTTCGTTCTTAGTTTTTTCTACATCGCTTGCTTCGACACGTCAATATTATGTTTGAACATTTATACATTTCAGTATTGGAGCAAACTGTCAAGTGTTACACGTGCTCACAAACTGTTACATTGGTACAACGATTGCATGATGTGCTTGTAACAGAAATCGTAGTACTTTTAGATATTACTTGTTTCTGATTAACTATTATAATGTTAGCTACGTCTAAATTATTTAAATACTACTCTACTCAATGAGACTAGTCTGTTATTACTGTGAGGTGCCGCGCATACTTTGACTGTTTACTTTCCTTGGTTTCCAATCACCAATGGTTATGACCCAAATTGAGAGTATCAATTACACACAAGTTTCTAATTTGTAAACGGCAACAAATTACACATCGCTCTGTGCCCGGGCTTCACTGTAGCCGTGGCGCAAACACCGCGTCGCTATACAGATACATAGAGATAAAAAATGAGAAACCTGTAGCAGTGGGCCTGTGTGTTGCGACACGCGGGTGTTGGTGTCAACTGGCCGCAGACCGCATTGCTCAGTAATGAACCAGCATCGGGAATAAATAATAGCACACGTGACCAATGAGCTGCGCCATGTAAGTTATGTTAATACGCGATCAGCTGACGTACGGCGCAGCCCGAGCACGTGGCGCACGTTGCACCACCGCGCACTGCCTGCATCACCTCACCACTGCGCCACCACACCAGCGGACCATCAGCAGTTAACCTGCTGCACCGTCACTCGGTACCGAAACTTCCCCAAACATTATGCCATGCAAAATGCCAGTAAACCTCGTAAGGGCAATAATGACACAACTTACATACGGGACAATAAACCAAGTCACTTAGTTGGGAGTAGGTACGTTAGTAGTATCAGGCATAACACCATCCATCGAAACTAAAAAAAAACACTATAAAAGTACCATAAAATCAAAATTCATTGTTTTACATAGAGACGTGAAATAAGCGCAGTGGGTTGCAGTCGTTACTGCAAGTGTCACTGCTGGACCTCTTGTATAGCTAAATCGTAAAATGAACTTAAAAATCCAACATCATTTTACTATAATATCAATTACTACCAAGATGTTAAAATTCTGGTGTTCCTTTTGAACAAAACCTACGCGTGCTCTGTATTTTAATTGAAGACTTAAGTGGAATCTAAATCTATAAGTAGATAAAACTAAGTGAAACTACTTTCATAATTGCCCACCAAACATTTATTTATCTTAACCACTTTTTAAATAACAGCCTGCACTCAACTTGTTTACCTACATTCTGCATGATAGCGCCACACACTTGAAAGATAGCCGATATAAAAGCCTTCCAGCACCTAACTGTACCTGTACTACCTACATCAATATAAGTGAGCAGCGTGCTTCAAATATTGACTTTGCTAAATTATCATGACGTACGCATGTATCTAAAATTATTTCCATTACTGCAGAATACAGCCCAAGGAATCAAAAATTCTATGTACGGCACTCTTAGGTCTGCCCGTGTTTAATTAGGGACATTGATTTGAGTCTAGAGTGTATCTGTCCTCGTTCCCTGCGTACCTAGATGGAGTACAATAGAAGCAGTCGAATGTTTTCACAATCGGTGGGCTTCGAGTGAAGTCGAGTGCTCGAGTGGCTACCAGCTGCGCCCGCGCCCGTGTTGGCGGACGCAGCGCAAACATTGCTTGTGTAAGTATTGTATTGTTGTACCGCGCGTGTTTGCTCGAACCTCCTCAGTTTACCTTCTCTCCGTCCGTCAGTGCACCCTCACACCGCCACCACACAACGCGACCTTGCCCACTCGCCCTATAATTTTAGCAGAGCTTAATAGTCTAAATAGCTAATTAATTATACGTTATCGATTGTCTAACGCTCATTAATTTGCCAAAATACCAGAGACAAAATCATAAAATTTAATGTCCCCGCTTCAGGGACGAGGTTATAACAATTTTTAACTATCGAATGATTTATTTTATGGCCGTTCTAATGGAATCGTTGGACGTTAATAGTAAATATTTAATTGGTTAATGTTACCGGTTTTTGGCGATGTCTCGTAACACTACCCCAAGATTCCATTAAAATATCTGATATTGTAGGCCGTGAGCAGGCTGTGGTCGCCAAGCCCTGCTTCGATCATTTTATGTCGTCACTCAGAAATCTTATACGTGAATGTGATAGTATCTAAAGCTCACGTCGACTCCATGTTTCTGGTGTTACGAGTAATTTTGCAATCAGCTGTCTGAACTGTTCTATTTTTAAAAACTTCTCCCTCTGCTCTATCACAATATAACTCATTATTCAGTAACTTACTGTTTTCCCAGATTGGGCAGTATTTGAGTAAAACTAAGATTCTATTTCGTTATATCGTTAAATGACTTTCTACAATAATTACAGCGATGATGTAACTTTACACCCTTACTAAAATCATCATGAATACGTTTCATCAATATGTAATCAGTATTAAAACTGTAATGCATCCACAGCAAAAAGTTTCATGTTTCGGCACCCATTAGCATTTGAGCAAAGCAATAAAAACAGAATGCTATTAGTATTAATTATTCATATGACAAACATAATGTATATATAAACAAATTTAGGCTGTAGCCGGGCAGGGGCCTGATGTCTCTCTCGGCGGAGTCTATCACCGCGCATATCTCACAGGTGACCACATCCCATCAATTACAAAACTGGTCTCGATAAAACTGGTATTATAATTATATTAGTTTCAGATGTGTCTCAAACTTAGACATAATTCAGAAACTACTTTAAACTTTCTAAATAAAAAAACCGTTTTAGAATCATTAGATAAGACGAAGATGGGATTGGATTTTGAAGCCATTTTTGGGTATTTAATATGGTGTACAAAAATTGTAATGAGTGCAACGTGGAATCAGACTAGTCTTCTTACTTAAAATTTCAAGTCACCAGTAAAATGTTAATACAAAATCTGTTAGCGCCAACTGCGGGACTAGCTTCGGTTACTCACCGCATTGGCTGCTGAGTTCCGTTTACACGTATTATGACAAATATTTAATATCGTATCATTGGCATACACTTATGGAAGATATTGAAATCTAAGACATCGGTTTTACCTAAGTTTTGTACTTGAATAATGAATAATGTAGTTTGTAGTTGCACAGAGAGAGAAATGTGAGCAGTGTGTACTGTCCGGTGTGGAGTGAATGGACAGCATGACTGGCAGTAGTGACGGTGCTGTGGTTTCACACCACGAGCTGATCAGCTCACACCTGACGTTATTATCTGGTAATATGGCGGATGTTAGTTCATTGCACCTTCTTCTGTTTGTGAGCGTAATGGCGCGCGCCACACGGATGTGCGTACGCAAATATTAGTAGTGACTTCACAAGGTCGGGGCAAATAGATAACGAGGAATGCTCTTTGCTGTGTACCCACTCAGAGAGCATTCCATTTGGCAGATATCATACTTATTTGTGTTGTTTGCTCTGGTCGGTAGTCGGTACTAAGGGCTCTCACTAGAAAAATCAAGAAATGTAAGTACTCGGGTAGTATATTTTGGCCAATTATCATCTTTCTATGCTTTTACATACATTTTAGTAAATTAGAACTTAATAATGTCAATATTACGTGGTGATTATCGGTTTTCCTAATACCAATACAAAGGTAAGTCAACTTCTGTGTTTGAAACCGGTCTTTAACGATATTCGTCACATTAATATATTTCTTTTGAAAAAACATCGGCATAAGGACCAATAATGTGTAAATTCTACTCATTACTATACTCGGAATTTTAATTCCATTCCAGATTTGACAATTTCAGTGTTGCAACGTTATGACACGTAATAAATAGTGACGTTGCGAAATTATTCGATATGGAAATCGAATATTTCTGAATCGATTCGTCTCGTTTATAAATTTACTCTCGTAAACTAAGTTTATCAGGAAATAAAATATTTCTGAACCGATAATTTATTTTTGACAATTAATTAACGATCTGAGACTTTTCTTTTGTAATTTTGTGTGAAATTAATAAAAAATGCGATCATGAAGGAACGTGACAAATAAAACAGACATTTTATAAATTGTCGCCGTCATCGCTATCGCTATCGCCGTTACTCTATGTAACATTTATTATGAATTGTGTCTGTGATATTTATTGTCAATTAACATATCTAGCTTACTAATTTTTTCCTCCTCTTTGAAAACATGGGATACACATTTAGACCATTCGGTAGCCGTAATTTTTTGAATGCCTTCCTGAAACTGATTTACTCATTGTTTATCGATTTTTGTGTTCATCACTACACTGTTATATGTGGTATCATTATTTCACAAAATGACAGTGGTCAATGTCAAATCAGGAATCGAATTAAAAGTCTGATTATAGTCACATTCAACATAAACAATAAACGTAATGTCAAACCCCTAACATTGTCAAAACACGTTGTCGACATAACAAGCAACACTTTGTTTACTCATGACTGTGTGGAATATCATCACGTCACCGTTGAATAAATAAAACTCCTTATATCGCGTAATTCGGTGCAATAAATATGCGCGTACGGTGCGCGTACGCAGCCGCGGCGAGGTGCGACAACACCTACATAAAGATGTCGTTATCTCGCCGACTCCCGCGCCGACGTCGTGACCGCTTATTACTCGAGCTTTATCACAATGCATCAGTTCGTCTCTACGTGATGACGAGGGTCGCATCACCTGGCGGTCCTAATAGATAACATTAAATTATAATATCTCCTGTTGCAAGCAACTCGAAGCAAGCTCGTTTGTTTAACAAAGCTTCGTGTTCTGCAATAAGATGTGCCTACAGTGTCACCTTCATGTAACATTCGGATCGCGCGGTATTATAAGGTCTCATGATAAGGACGATCAGATTATTAACTCCCGCGCGGTCAAAACAAATCACAAATCTGCAAATCACCGGAGCAACGCGCGCCCGCACCCGCCTGCCCTACACAGTTTATAGTCGTATTTATTAACTAAAATAGACAAATTATTGTTTATGTTACAATTTATTAAGTGAATTCTACGCATAATTGATTAAAGATTGTATTAAGGACTTAACAGCCGTTCTTAACATCAACAGTAAAAAGATTAGTACAACTTAAGTAACTCAATGTTTACAAATAAGTTAAACATTTAGTGAGAGAGTGTCCGCGCGATCGTTGAATGATTCCTCCATAATGCCAGTCATTCATCAGTTTGCCGCGTTGATTAGCGTCCCTCCTCTGTTTGCCCACTAGTGGACCGATATTACGTCAGGTCTCGGTGTACTGTCGACACCGCCTGCCTCCAGCTTGCACACGATAATCACCTATATATCTATACGAATACGGAATACTAAGTTATTTGAGTACATTGTTGTCAGTGCAAACATTCGGCCGCTGCGCCCGCGCCGCCGTTCGCACCAAACAGTGTTTCGTCTTTGAGCTGCCGTGGTTCTTGTCATAGATTATAAATGTAGATCAGCGTTTATTTTACATTTACTAATATCCAATGTGTTTGTGAGTATTTTACATACAGAAGATTTACTGTAGGTACCTTCATATTATTATCTATCTCCATATTAGTATGATTGCTTGTTCTTTATACTTACTATCAAAATAATAATAAAAATCTTCGCAACTCCTTCGTGTTCTCATCCTACATCTCATCCTATTTACAGATGAGTCTGAGCGTCCGTTAGAGTAAGCGCATGCGCAGTGCGCGGTGCGCGGTGTGTCTGCAGCTGGCTACTCTATCAGTTGACAGTTCACATAAGACAAAGCATGTTTAATTAGCCGCGTGTTGACTCTCGCCTAC